GTGATACTAATCTTGATTTATAGGTTTTAAGAATGTTAAATTACTAGCCCGGCACACGGGTGACACAGGAGAATTGCTGTGAGTTTGAGGCCAGCTTGGGCTAAGTGAGTTTAAGGCCAGCCTGCACTATGTAGCGAGACGCTGTCTCAGAAAACAAACAGCAAGAATGTTGAATTGCTAACTGATTAGGTTTTCACTTGTATATCTCTAAGAAAAATAAGAAAAATATTAGATTTTTGTAATGCAGAGCTTAAGTAATTTTGTATTGTCTCCAGGGAAATGTGATGATTGCAGATGCATAGCTGGAGGAAGTACCACATTCGTGTGTTAAGAACAGCTCTGCAGGCCGGGGAGATGGCTCAGTAGAATAAGAGCGTGCCTGGCAAGCGCAAGGGCCTGGTTCAATCCTCAGTTGTAAAAAAAAAAAAAAAAAAAAGAATAGCTCTACAGGGCCGACGAGATAGCTCAGCGGACTAAGTGCCTGCTTTGGCAAGTGCAAGAACCAGGGTTTGATCCCCAGTCCAGCGTGCAGCACCGGCCTGTCCCCAGGGCATACTGAGCTGGCAAACGAGTCTGGGCATTGTAATCTCAGCACTGTGGGGGCTGAAAATAGGAGAATCACTACGATTCAAAGCTGTGTAGTGAGACCTTGTACCAAATACATAAAATGAAAAAGGGGGAAAAAAAAGGAATAGCTCTGCAACCTTTCACCAGACTGATAGGATTTTAAAAATAAAGACACTGTCACTGGCTAAATATAATTCAGGGTTAGATTATGGACTACTTAAAATCAGGATCTTGTGGTTTTTTGTTTTTTTTTTCAGTACTGGGGATTGAACTCAGGCTCTTGTGCTTGCCAGGGAAGCGCTTATTCCACTGAGGCATCTCCCCAGCCCAGGGTCTTGTTCTTAATCAAGTTTATGTTGTTAGCACCCAGCATAGTACTTGGCTCAATGTAAACACTCTAACAGAGTAATGGTTTTTGGTTCACGATGTTGGTACTGAGCCCAGGGGCTCCTGTGTGCTGGCCAACTGCTCTACCCCTAAGCTACCTCCTAGTGCTAATAGTTTTTACCACCTTGATTCTGTTATAATTACTGAAAACAGCATAAACCTTCTTTTAACAATTTGTATCTTTGCCTCCTGAGGTACGTTTTGTCCATTGAGAGTGCAGATGAGATCCGAGAATATATGACCGACCTCCTCCAGGGAAATGAGGGCAAGAAAGGCCAGTTCATTGAAGATCTTATAACCAAATGGCAGGTGAATGATCAGGAGATCATTTCTGATCCTTTGCAGCAGTGCTTCAAAAAGGATGGTAAGTTAATACAAAGAGATAAATATTTAGGGG